TCTTGGCACTAAAAAAAATGCTACGTTTAAAATAAATAAATAAATAAACATTTAAAAATATCTAAACAGCGTTGGTGAGTGGCTTCAGTTCTGTAAGTCTGACATATAGCCCTCATTCCGTCGATATTCTTCATTTTTACGTCCTCTTCGTACTGATCCCCAGCAATTTCACCCATAGTTCCAAGCCCAGCCATTAATAGACAGATCATTTTAATGTTTCCCGTCTATCCCCCCCCCCCCACTTCGAAATAATAAATAATCTGGTCAACTGAGCACTTTTACCATCTAATATGATAAGTTCGCTACTGGCACACATTAATTCACATAAAACTGGTTAGGTGTTAGGCATCTATAAGAAAACCAGAATTCTACAAAATCACTGAATGTATTCAGTGCATCAGCTTTTTATCAAATTTCACATTATAATGAACTTAGAAAGTCAGGTATCCATGTTAAAATAGAATTATAGTATAATCAAAACATAACATACCTTTTCACAATATACAGAAAATGCTCATCATAAAATTTTATCCAATGTATAATTCAAAGTACAATAGAGAAAGAGTCTACCAAACGATATTCTAACCCACCTGGTTCACTAGTTACTAGCCAGTCGTCCTAAGCCCGGATAAAGAGGGAGGGTTGGGCATACGGCTAGCAACTCTACCCCGGAAAAACAATTTAACCGCTAAAGAAACTTCGAAGCACAAAGAAAAAAAAGTAGAATTAAACTTATTACTCGTTGGAATCGCAAAGACCAGATGACGCCGGTTGGTGAAAGCCTTCGGGAAGCCAATTGGCCGATGTGTCACCTCTCTCCCGATGATAGCGAAAGTAAACATAGGGACATGGAATGTCTGCGCAATGCTTGAAGCTGACTGCCTAGGTTGCCCAGATTGAAAAAGAAATGGGAAGATATGCCATAGAAGTACTGGAAATCTGCGAAAGCAGATGGAATGGAAATGGACTCTCCAAACTGTCAACTGGAGAGTCGATAATCTACTCCGATATTATCACCCAGAAGACAATAACAGGCACACTGAGTTTTGGAGTGACTATCATGATGTCCCCAAGAACATCGAAGGCTCTCATGCAGTGAGAACCAATCTCCTCCTGCAGGATCATGACGGCAAGATTCAAATCAAAAGGAAGGAAAGTCACAATCATACAATGCCATGTCTACGCACCTACAAATAATTATGCAAACCAAGAGAAGGAAGAGAAATTCTGTAGAGAACTGCAACCAACACTGGAAAAAACCTCAGTTGGCGACATCAAAATTCTAATGAGTGGGGTGATATGAATGCCAAACTGGGAGCAGACAACACAGGAAGAGAACCACTCATGGGTCGAGAAGCACACAGTGAAATGAGTGAGAACGGAGAACTGTTTGAGGAATTCTGCGCATTCAACGATCTAGTGATTGGAGGCACTGTGTACAAACACAAGGATATTCACATAGCAACATGGATTTCACCGGATCGAAACACTGAAAATCAGATCGACTTCATCTCAATTCGAAGAAAGTGAAGACGCAGCCAGCCTACTGGACACAAGGTCAGATCAAGAAGAGGAGCAGATGTAGGTTCACACCACTCACTGTCTAGTGTAAGGAACCTACCTTCATAATCAAGTTGAAAGCCTTCAAAGACGTCGGTGACAGACCACAGTTCAAGTTCAACGCCTAGAACACAAAAAGTGAACTAAATGGCGAAACTAGAAAAGACATCTTCACGTCGGCCATCAGAACAAAATGGGAGACATTTAGCAACATCCCTGAAGGATCGGGCGTTGGCGAACACTGGAACTCTTTGAAAGGGATGTGGAAGGGAGCCTGCATAACCGTGTTAGGAAGGAAGAAGAAACAAGACAAGGGATGGATCTTAACGGATACATGGAAGCTGATGGAGAAGGGTGAAAAAGATGGTGAAGCAGAAGATGAGTTAGTGCAAGGATGAACAACGAAAAGAGGAACTGAACACAATCTATAAAACACTGGACAAAGAAGTGAAGAAGAGTACGCGGAAAGACAAAACACACTTGTACGACATACTGGCAAGTGAACCAGAACAGGCTCCAGGTAGGAGAGACCTGAGAGCATTATATCAAATGACCAGGTTACTGTCTGTGAAGAGATCAACACAGATGAAACCAATGAGAGATAGTGAAGGTAACCTAGTTACCAAAGAGTAGAAGCAAAGGGAACAATGGGCCGACCACTTCATAAAACTATTGAATCGACTACCACCTGCACTTCGTTCAGAAATAACACCTGCAGTCACAGAACTACAAGTGAACACAAACCGTCCGACGAAAGTCGAAGTCCTGAATGCCATAAAACTGCTGAAATGCGAGAAAGCAGCAGAACCAGATGGAATCCCGCCAGAAGCACTGAAAAAGACGCAGGGATATCAACGGACATGCTCATGCCCCTACTGCAGAAGGTTTGCAAGGAAGGAAGGAAAGGTACCTGACGACTGGAAGAAGGGCTACCTTGTCAAACTCCCATAGAAGGCTGACCAAAGTCTTTGCAAGAACTGGTGCGAAATCATGCTCCACCGCCGTTCACCCCAAGGAAAATATTAGGCCGCATCATACTGGAGAGATTAAAAGGTGATCTGGATTCAAAATTGCGACCGGAACAGGCTGGCTGGCTGGATTCAGGAAGAACAAATCATGTGCGGATCAAATTGCAACGCTACGCTACGTATCATCAAAGAACAGAGCATAGAATGCCAGTCAACTCTCTACCTCAACTTCATCGACTTTGAAAAGGCCTCCAACAGCGTCGACTGAGAAGTAATTTGATAGGCAGTTGCTTCAACTCTACGGAGTGCCACAAATCTTTACCAACCTCATTCAACAACTATATGCTATACGATGCTACATACCGAGTGATTCACAATGGAAAAGTCAGCGACGTGTTTGAAGTGAAGACAGGAGTAAGACAAGGCTGCCGCCTACTATTACCGATGATCTTCCTGATTGTCGTCGACTGGGTTATGCAACAAACCGTGACGAGCAAGAAGAGGGGGATACGCTGGCTGGACTGGGGAAAATAGTCTAGAAGATTTGGATTTCACCCATGATGATTTATGTCTAATGTCTTGTGGCACAAACTCGAAGATCTACAACCAGAAGCCAACAAGTTGACAGAAGAGGCAGAGCAGCGAAGACGGGACTTCACGTGAACGTAGAGAAGACAGAGGTAAGGAAGATACCCACCCAACAACAGCATGAATAACAAGAGGCACCAATCACTATCATCGGGAAAAACCTAAAGGAAGTAGTCTCTTTCACCTACCTAGGCAGGCAGCATCATTTCAACTACAGGCGACATAGGCACAGATGAGGTTGTCAAAGCCAGGATCGGAAAGACAACAAGACAGCCCTTCATTGATCTGAAATCAATGTGGAGATCTACTGCACTGCACTCAGTATAAAGCTAGAACAAGATTCCGATTTTCAACATCAATATCAAGTCAGTGCTTCTATATGGTTCAGAAACTTGGGGCGTTACGGAAAGCATTTCCAACAAACTTCAAACATTTATCAACAGCTGCCGCCTACGCTCACTCAATACCGAAGATCAGATGCCCAGAATAACAAGAATAAGCAACTGAAAACTCTGACTGGCAACGAACCAACCAACCAAGAACCTATCGCCCAACAAATAAGCAGAAGGAAGTGGGGATAGATTGGATTGGGCATATATTGAGAAGGCCGACTGGGGACATCGCGTGCCAGGTCAGGCTCTCGAGTGGAAGTCAAATGGGAAACGATGAGTTGGGCGTCCGAAGGTGACATGGAGGAGATGGCGTGAGGACGAAATGAAAGCTTCTGGGCAGTCGTGGTGCCAGGTTAAAAAGACTGCAGAGAAGAGAGTGAAATGGAGGCGTGCTACTGAAGCCTCAAGTTCCACTAGGAACCGAGTGGACAAATATTAGTAAATATGGTTCACGAATAATTTTATGTTGAGTGTGCTTGAGATCATTCCAATGCTTTTCTTCGAATATACAAATAAATTTTATCTTTGGAAATATTTGCACAATGAGCAGCATTCCTTGTGCTCTTTTGGGCATGCGGGGTTGCGTAACTCTTTGTGTAGGTGAATTGGGTGTACGAGACTGAGGAAGTGCATACCAGACTTATCACATTGGCGTTTAGTTTTCAGACACGGTAAAACCATGAGTGAAACAGCAGTGACTAGACGAAAATCGTAATGGGATGGATGGTACTAATGGCCATTGCACCGGTTGCACCTCTGGTTCCCATATGTACGACGCTTTGCCGTTTGAAGTGATGGTCCCAAGTTCAAGTCTCACAGGGAGCAACAACACCCGCTGGGGTACAGGCACATCTAGGTGACGAGTCTTAAATAGGATGATACTCGCTTGCTGAACTCTATTTACCCATTGCTCAACTTTAATAAACGAATATTCTCATGGGTTACTTTTTAATCCTTTTGTACCGTGTTGTTGGTCGTTTAACCTGTCCGTTAGCTGTTGTTGTTTTCGTGGGTAGTAAGTAACCTATTCTGTGTCGCGATATCATACACAAATCCATAGTCGAAATCCCTGAGATCAGTGGAGCTAATCATTCTTTTCGATTTTGTCTTTCTTACTAATTTTTTAAGCTAAAGTCCTTTCAATATGGACTTGTGAATTTTAGAGATGTATATCCTGATCCCTTAAAGTATATTTTTATTGAATTGATAGCGTTTCTGAAGAAAGTCACTAATCACGGAACACGTGGTAAGGTCATTTACAAAAGCAACACGTGCCCAAGACCACAAGACTCATATCCATTGGTTGAAACCTATTATGAACATAGTGTATTTAGCAAATTATGGAAATGAAATGTTGAAAAGAATGGATTCCTTTGTGATTCAATGTATATTCCCCTCTATTCACGGAGTATTAGGCATTTCTTTGAACTGTTTGCTGTAAATTGTTTTACTCAAGGAGCAGTAATTTGATCGTAAAGTAACCTTGAAAATAATGAATTCCCACTCGAGTGATTTTATCAGTGACCGTTATAGTGAATCTGAATTGTTGAAAACTATTAAACCTATTATAAAAAACGATGATGCTGATCAGTTGTTGAATATACTGACTAATCGTAGACGGAATTCCATTATTACTACTGATAATGACAAAGGTAGTAAATTGGAGAGACAGTTGCTTTATGAACATACACTCTTGGGATATGATGATCAAGGGAATTTACTGCAAGTGAGTCTAATTCCACCTTTTTCGATAGATTTTATTTGCTTGATTCATAGTTAATGTGCACAACTAGAAGTTTCATAGGAACTGGATGTTATTTCTTACATTGAATAATTTTTACCTACTACTTTGGTGTTTGTGAGGATTTATTTATAGATTTCAAGTTGATATTTATCATGGACTGACATCAGTTGACAAAACGTTGGAGAACTGAGAAGCTGTTTCTTCCCAGTATGGGATCTTCCGGCACTGCGCACCCATAACCCTCGCCAGAGGTCGAACCCAAGAACTCTAGGTTCCGTAGCCAGTATATTACCGCTGAGCTACTGCTATTCTGTCGCGAATCCTTGGTCCTTTGAAATCAAGAAGAAGCAGGTGGATGCTTCGTCTTGATTGGAACTATTCTGGTGGAAGACATACTTGGGTTCTCTGAGTTCGTCTGAAGATGTTATTGGCTTACTTTCAAAGTGTTATTTTTCTAGGTACTTGACTCAGCTTCATCAACCAAACTCTTCAGCCTGAAAGAATTCATAATATAGGTATGTGATTGACTACTAGTTCAAAGTTATCGGGGCTTATAGAATTTTATGTCATGCTTATGAGATATTTTCATTTTTTTTTATTTGTGAAACGAATCATCCAGCATTAAACTTACTACTGACTGAAGCTAAACAAGTTTCTGTGAAAGCTGAGATATCTTTTTTGCTCAGTATACCTTGAATCTCTGATCACAATCTAAAAATCATATGTAGAATTAAGTAAAATTCGGGAACCCGGAACATTAGTTGCATACTAATTCAAAGCTTCTGAGCATTGTTCGTATTTCCCTCGACGATTCATCGAAATGCGTGACTCTAAGTTCTTGCGCTGACAGTGTTCTCGTTCAGCAGTGGAACTCACCTTTACATGTGGCATTTCGAATAGCAGTGTTATGCACGCTTCCACACACTCAATAAGATATTGTTCACAACTTGCAAACATTTCACTTTAAATACCAACATCGCACTCAATTCATTATTAACATATTGTGTAAGTCTCATTCTTTTTAGATCAGATACGTTCACTAGACTATCGTCACCTCTTAACTGATAAAACAACAAGGTGATGCACACATCTATGTGCTCTTGTTTCTGTGTTCTTTGTGGGAAATATTGTGTTCAGTGAACGGCTTAGCCGCCTGTGAAGACATATAAGGTGTGTTTTGTGCTGTGAATTAGTGTGTTCGGGCTGGAGATCATGAATGAGCAGAGTAATATAAAACGATGTCGTGCCGAATGACGTGTAAGCTTAACCGCTTACAATCAACCGAACCGTTCCCTTAAAACCGTGCAGCTTAGCACTACTGTCGAATATAGGTAAACTGTAAACTATTAATTTCGATGATTCATTTGCTGCTACAAACCTCTATAATATCGCCTTGAATCTAGTTCAAGAATAACTAATTAATCCAGCGTGTTTTGTCTTTCCGCGTACTCTGCTTCACTTCTTTGTCCAGTGTTTTATAGATTGTGTTCAGTTCCTCTTTTCGTTGTTCATCCTTGCACTAACTCATCTTCTGCTTCACCATCTTTTTCACCCTTCTCCATCAGCTTCCATGTATCCGTTAAGATCCATCCCTTGTCTTGTTTCTTCTTCCTTCCTAACACGGTTATGCAGGCTCCCTTCCACATCCCTTTCAAAGAGTTCCAGTGTTCGCCAACGCCCGATCCTTCAGGGATGTTGCTAAATGTCTCCCATTTTGTTCTGATGGCCGACGTGAAGATGTCTTTTCTAGTTTCGCCATTTAGTTCACTTTTTGTGTTCTAGGCGTTGAACTTGAACTGTGGTCTGTCACCGACGTCTTTGAAGGCTTTCAACTTGATTATGAAGGTAGGTTCCTTACACTAGACAGTGAGTGGTGTGAACCTACATCTGCTCCTCTTCTTGATCTGACCTTGTGTCCAGTAGGCTGGCTGCGTCTTCACTTTCTTCGAATTGAGATGAAGTCGATCTGATTTTCAGTGTTTCGATCCGGTGAAATCCATGTTGCTTTGTGAATATCCTTGTGTTTGTACACAGTGCCTCCAATCACTAGATCGTTGAATGCGCAGAATTCCTCAAACAGTTCTCCGTTCTCACTCATTTCACTGTGTGCTTCTCGACCCATGAGTGGTTCTCTTCCTGTGTTGTCTGCTCCCAGTTTGGCATTCATATCACCCCACTCATTAGAATTTTGATGTCGCCAACTGAGGTTTTTTCCAGTGTTGGTTGCAGTTCTCTACAGAATTTCTCTTCCTTCTCTTGGTTTGCATAATTATTTGTAGGTGCGTAGACATGGCATTGTATGATTGTGACTTTCCTTCCTTTTGATTTGAATCTTGCCGTCATGATCCTGCAGGAGGAGATTGGTTCTCACTGCATGAGAGTGTAGGGATGAGTGTTACAATTCCGTAACGATTGACCAACCCTACTTAATTTGATGTGCTCTAGTACCTGGTTAACCAGTACTTTACCTAACGTGTAAGTACTGGTAACAAAACACAAATCAAAAGAACTGATACGCAATGTATTTAAAGGAGCTATGTATTTAAGGTAAATGTTATAATAATGAATGAGGGAAAAGTTTAATCAACTTATCTGGCTTGTCAGGCTGAACTAGGGACTCGGAGTACGTGCGTGGTGATCAGCACAATGGAGCGCAAAAATGGCGTCCAAGCCTGCTCGGATGCATGCTCGTTAAAACAAAACTTAAAACACCCTAAGCATCCGGAGGCAAGCTAGAGATTTATTTAGTTAATTTAATTTAATCTGTTTATTTTAGCCCTAGCTATATTTTGGTGTCAGGAAGGTGCACTACAGGTTATCCCCCTCTTAGAAGGTTGTTGGGATACCGGCAACCTTCGATCCTAGGAGGCGGCTGCGATGCGGACACGCAACACCTTTCCATATTGGTGATGGAGTAGGTGACGTGTGGGTCTCCGAAGCTAGTGCAACTATGCACACCTACGAGGTAAGATAACTTTGCGTCTAGACGCAACCCTTCTCGCAGTGGTGGAAGGTGACCCAAAGCCTCCGTCCACTTTTCCCTATTGCTTCTTAACCTACCGGAGAGTGTACAGGGGGAAATTGGTACAAAGAGAACCGAAGAACGATCCAAGTAGCATCGTCAGCGGCCAATTGTATCCAATTTTCAACGCATTTTCTAGGTTCTGCAAGAAGAAAGAAATGGGACATTAGAGTGCTAAGAAAAGGAAAACCAAACAATTCGAAGTTGGAGGAGTACAGAAAAAAAAATAATAACCAACCAAAAAAAGTTTTCGGAATTTAAATTGTATTTTTGATTTTTCTTTTTTTTTTAAAAAAAAAAACTGTTTGCAAAGTAGTAAACATGACTTTTGAAAACTTTAGGTATGAAAACGCATTGAAAGTGTATGCCACTACCAAGTACTTGAAACTCCGAATTCACCAAGTGTGAAGTTGCTCTGGGGCTAATTAACGAACTCGGTGTATCGCTTGGGCCAATGTACACGCCTCCCAGCACGTGTAGAGGTTACTGGATCAGTGTTACTAGACGTGGCTCTTTTAGAAGGTTCAGGATACGCGCGACTAAACGAGTCTGTTAGGGAGTCCGGAGGCAAGGGTCTGGGTGTGCCTGTGGAGGTGTCGCACGATATTGACACTTCATTGTTCAGGAGCGGTAGACGCTGTATCTTCAGAGAGGATGAGTGTTGAAGTTTTTCCATCTCCTCGTCTGAATCCTGAAGTTCGGCAATCTTCCGGAAGTCGACTGCTCGAGGCAAAGTAGTGGTGCAAACGCGAGACAGTGCGTCTGCGACAGGGTTATTCGCACCAGAAATATGACGGATGTCCGACGTGAATTGCGAAATATAATCTAGGTGACGTAATTCACGCGGTGAATATCTGTCAGTAGTGGTGTGTAAGGCATACGTCAGAGGTTTATGGTCGGTAAAGATGATGAAGTCACGACCTTCCACAAAATGACGAAAATGTTTCACTGAGGCATATATGGCGAGCAGTTCCCTGCCGAAAGTGCTGTACCGCATTTCGCAGGTGGATAACTTCCGGAGAAGAATGCAACTGGGATCCAAGTGTGATCCGAAAGTTGTTGCAACACAGCTCCAATGGCCGTGTTAGAGGCGTCAACCGCAATGCTGAGAGGTAGGTTTACGTCTTGATGCACCAGCATCGTGGCGTCTGCTATTGCGGTTTTGATCTTGCGAAATGCTTCTAGTGCCTCCGGAGTCAAGCTGAAAGTTTTACATTTACTTTTCAGCAGGTCGGTCAGTGCAGTCAAAATGTGTGCACATTGGGGAATGAAGCGACGACAATAGCTCACCATACCCAAAAACACACGCAGAGCTTTAAGTGACCCTGGGACTGGGAAGTCTTGGATCGCCTGTACCTTTTCAGGTAGTGGGCGAATGCCTTGCTCGTCGATAACGTGTCCCAAAAATTTTAGTGAATGAACGCCAATCCGGCATTTGGCCAAGTTGACTGTCATCGAATGCTCTGACAGTCTGGCAAAAACCTGTTTCAAATGGTTAAAATGGGTGTCTTCGTCAGGACTAGCGATTAGTATATCGTCTAGGTAGGCATAGGCGAAGTCGAGTCCACGTAAAACATCGTGAATAAAACGTTGGAAGGTTTGTGCTGCATTGCGAAGACCAAAAGGCATACGGAGGAACTCAAAAAGACCAAACGGTGTAATGACAGCTGTCTTGGGAACATCATCAGGATGGACCGGGATCTGATGATATGCACGCGTCAGGTCAAGCTTACTGAAGATAACCGAGCCTTTTAAAGATGCAGTCAAGTCGTGAATGTGAGGGACTGGGTAACGATCTGGAATCGTTTTAGCGTTGAGCCTTCGGTAGTCACCACAAGGTCTCCAGTCCATGCCATTGTTCTTGGGTACCACATGCAAGGGTGAAGACCATGGACTGTTGGATGGTCTGATTATTCCCATCTCAAGCATGTGTTCGAACTCGGCTTTTACAGCACGCAGTTTCTTCGGGGATAATCGCCTTGGTTTCGCAAACACTGGCGGGCCAGTCGTCGTT